CGGGACTGATTAACGCCAGAAGGCTTTATCCTTTATTCCCCATATCTATGACGGACAAATGTTCCTCTCTGATTTCATGGGTCCAATGGCACCAGCGTTCAAGAGTGCAGTAGGAATTGAAAAGAAAGAATCTTCATAAGTTTCTGAGAACTTTTTTTAAGCTTACAGTGCCCCAAAAGTATGAGTTCACTTCTGATCAACATCCCTATTACTTTACTCAGCGAATATAGCAGCAACAATGAGCAGTCAATAAATGGGAGATTCCTTCTTCCTTTAATGACTTCAACCTTCCTCTTCGGCATGCTTCGAACAAGCTTGAGATCGTTCCTAGCTGTACTCGTTCCCCAGCCTCCCTGATGGCGTTTTATAGCACCTCTTCGTTTTTAGACTGTCCACAGTCTCTGTAAAGGTCCCGTGCGATGACAACTTATAGGTGCTCGATAGGATTTGAGTCAGGAGATTCGAATGGCCAACAATGAAGTTTTTTTCTCTATCATACCTTTCCATTGTTGAAGCACATCCATGAATGGCAACATTGCCTCGCTTCAAACGCTAAGACAGTAAAACCACAATACAGATTAAAGGATGAAAAGGATAAAGTTTTTGGCGTTAATCAATCCCGTCTGAGGGATGCGCCTCCGCACTCGACTTCCATTCAGAATCGTAGTGGCGTAATGAGTGCGTATGTGGCCTATACAATGACTTGCGATGGCCAGCCGGTGTACAAGTCAGTGTTTTCATCCTCTCAGACGAGTCTGGTACCAATTCACCGACCCCGGAGGGCTGGAAGACTTGGTAGGCCTAGGCGGGTATCGATCCGGGATTCGTACCCCTGAGATAGTGCGCCACTTGCCACTAGACCACCTCCGCCTCAAAATACAGAGGTAAAATGAAAAATGGGGTCAACCTAAACTTTTGGGGCACGCTATAGCTCAGTGAGTGAAGTCATTATTACAAATACTACAACGTTTCTAAGCTTTTATGTCTCATGGCTAGAGATCGGAGATGGATCGATATCAAGAAGCCATCCCATTCTTAAACATCCATTTCAAAACGGAAAAAATAATGAAAATTTCAGTGGAGTCGAGTTGTTGAAGCGCATAGGGTAGAGCCTTAATCGTAACGTATCACACCTAAACAGCGTAAGGGAAATTTGAAGGCCGGAAGCGACAGGTAGCATTGCCGTAAGGGCCACATAACAAACTATTCCAGATCAGGTGATAGCAATAAACAGTAAAAATAGTACATCAGTGTCATATTTTCGATGGGGGAAAGGAAGAAAAAGAAAATTTATGTGTCAGTACGTTTTAGGAGGAATCCTTTCATCACTGGTTTGGTCCAAATGAAGCTGAATGAAACACCACTGGCATCTGCCAAAATGAACCCCTCGAGCGGTTTTTCCTGGTCAGGTTCGCGACCGCACTGTTGGGCATCATCTGCAGCATAAGGAATCTTGGCTAACCTATCGGACCTAGCCTGTCCCCATCCCTCATCTCTCTTACGGTCTGAGACGACCTCCTTAGTTAGGGGCGCCCATAATGATACGGGGTGAAGCGGGACCACTCGTAATTGGTCCTCACTTCTTCCTCGAACAACGTCAAGGGCGAGACGTAGATTGTGCTGAAGACTTGTTAACTATTACTCTGTTTTTCTATAACGGTAACATCCGGACTTACATCTAACTTGCCTAATTTATTCATTGGAGTCATTGCAAACCTCTCAACCCCTTCCCCTCCCCCCCTCCTCCCCCCTTTCCCCCACCCACCCTACACCCATCTCCCATACCGTCGCCGTTGCCGTCGAAGAAAAT